CTCCAAGGATGTACAACCTTCCTGAGCAGCCTGTTCTGCTGCTTGACTGTCCTCATCATAAAATTTATCTTTTTATCCACTCCGAAACTGATTTCATTTCAGTTTTGCCTATTCCCCCTTGTTCCTGAGCCTTGGCCTTTTGTCTTCCCACCACCTTCCACTGCGAGAATCCTGGCTTCACCTTCCTGATAACCTCCTCGTTGGTATGGGAAGGCTGCTGTTAGGTCCCCCCAAAGCCGTTTCTTCTGCAGGCTGAACAAGCGCAGATAGCTCAGCCTCTCCAGGCAGAGCAAGAGCTCCAGCCCTGAGCACTGTGGCTCTCAGCTGAACTTTCTTCAGTTTCTTGAGGTGTTTCTTGAGCCCCCAAATTGGACACAGTCTTGTAGGTGCGAATGAGAGGGACAATCTTGCTCTACCTGCTGCAGTGGCTCTTGTTCACGCAGCCAGGGATGCTGTGAGTGCCTGCTGCCAAGGCTCGTGGCCAGCCTTGTTCAGTTTGCTGACTACCCAGACCCCAGCGTTGCTTCCCAGCCAGTCAGTCCCCAGCCTTTCTGCTGTCAAGGGCTTCCTTCTTGGTGCAGGACTTTGCATTTTTCCTTGTTGAAACTCATGAATTTCATGAGCAATCCAGGAGACTCCTAGAGTGTGTTGAGGATAACTGCCTGGGCCAGGTGTTAGATATTAGACAAACCACCCAGAGGAGAAGTGTTTCTGGACCTGGTGCTCACAGGAGCAGACAAACTCTTTAAAGAGGTTAAGACTGGAAGCAGTCTGGGCTGCAGTGACCGCGCCCTGGTTAACTTTGTGATCTCAAGGAATACGGGACTAGCGAAGAGCAGTCAGGACCCCAGACCTCTGAAGAGCGACCTTCAAGCTATTTCAAGACCTAGGGGACAAGATCTCCTGGAACACTGTCTTTAGGAGCAAAGGAGCTGAACAGATCTGGCAACTCTTTAAGGATGATTCCCTCATGTAAAAAAAAAGAGCAGGGAGTGCAGAAAGGCTGAGCAAGGACCTGCTGGTCAGACTGAGGCGCAGGGAGGAGATGCACGGGCAGTGGCAGAGTAAGTGGCAGAGATGCACGTGGCCTGGGGAGAGTAAGGAATGCGGTACGGATGTGCAGGGATGGGGTCAGGAAAGCCAAGGCACGGATGGAACAGAGCTTGGCAAGGGATGCAAAAAATAACAAGAAGGGATTCTGTGGGTACACAGGCCACAAAAGAGAGGACAAGGAGAGTGTACCCCTCTAATAAATGGGAAGGGAGAGCTGGTAATGACTGACGTGGAGAAGGCTGAGGCACTGAACAACTTCTTTGCCTCGGTCTTCACTGCCAGTCAGACTTCCCACAGCTCTCTTTTCCCTGAACAGGTAGATGAGGGATGAGGGAGCAAAGTCCCTCTCACTGAAAGCAAAGAGCAGCTTTAAGGCCACCTGAGGGAACTGGGTGATGGAGCTGCCAAGCCTCTCTCCATCATCTTTGAAAAGTCATGGCAGTCAGGTGAAGTCCCTGGTGATTGGTAAAAAGGAAAAATCACTCCGATTTTTAAAAAGGGTAGAAAGGAGGATTTGGGGAACTACAGACTGGTGAGCCTCACCTCTGTGCCTGGTGAGATGGTGGAACAGATCCTCCTGGAAGCAGTGCAGGGCACATAGAGGGCAAGGAGGTGATCTGAGACAGCCAGCACGGCTTCCCCAAGGGCAAATCACGCCTGACCAATCTGGTGGCCTTCTATGATGGAGTGACAGCATCAGTTGACAAGGGAAGACTGACCAGTGTTATCTACCTGGACTTCTCTAAGGCCTTTCATATGGTCCCACGAGACATCCTGATGTCCAAATTGGAGAGAGAGGGATTAGAAGGGTGGGCCATTCAGTGGATAAGGATTTGGCTTGGAGGCTGCATCCAGAGAGTGGTGCTCAGTGGCTCTGTGTCCAGGTGGAGATCGGTGACAAGCGGTGTCCCTCAGGGGTCTGTCCTGGGGCTGGTGCTTTTCAATATCTTTATCAACAACATAGACACTGGGATGGAGTGCACCCTCAGCAAGTTCACAGATGACGCCAAGCTGAGTGATGCAGTTAATACAACAGAAGGAAGGGATGGCATCCAAAGGGACCTGGACAGGCTGGAGAAGTGGGCCCACATGAACCTAATGAGGTTCAACAAGGCCAAGTGCAAGGTGCTGCACCTGTGTCAGGGCAATCCTGGACATGAGCACAGACTGGGAGAACTCACTGAGAGCAGCCCTGCGGAGAAGGACTTGGGGGTTCTGGTGAACGAAAAGCTCAACATGAGCCAGCAGAGTGTGCTTGCAGCCCAGAAGGGCATCTGCATCCTGGGCTGTATTAAAAGAGGGGTGAGCAGCAGGTTGAGGGAGGGGATTTTCCCCCTCTATGTCCCCTCTGGAGTCCTGCATCCAGGTCTGGGGCCCCCAGCACAAGAAGGATGTGGGGCTGTTAGAGCAGGTCCAGAGGAGGACCACAAGGTTGATCAGAGGGCTGGAGCACCTCTTCTGTGAAGAAAGGCTGAGAGAGATGGGGATGTTCAGCCTGGAGAAGAGAAGGCTCTGGGGTGACCTTATTGACAGCTTTTCTATATTTAAAGGGAGCTTATAAAAAAATGGAGAGCAACGTTTTGCTCAGGCAGACAATGACAGGGCAAGGGGGAATGGTTTTAAACTAAAAGAGAGATTTAGATTAGAGGTCAGGAGGCAGTTCTTCACTCAGAAGGTGGCGAGGCCCTGGCACAGGCTGACCAGAGAAGCTGCGGATGCTCCATCCCTGGAGGTGTTCAAGACCAGGCTGGACGAGGCCCAGGACAGCTTGATCTAGAGGGTGGCATCCTTGTGCATGGCAAGGGGGTTGGAATTAGATGATCTTTAAGGTCCCTTCCAACCCGAGCTCTTCTATGATTCTGTGATTCTCTGAATTTCCTTCTGACCCTTTCCTCTAGCCTGTCTAGGTCCTTTTGAGATGTCCAGCTAGTCACTGAACTTGGTAGGGCTTTGGATATCATTTTCAAAAGTGCTTTCCACCTCATATTAAAAAAAAGATGCAGGAGAGATGCTTACAGTAGAGAAAAATATCAAGTGGAGAGCAGAGAGTAAAATGAATACTCGTAGAAGCAGCAATGTAAACTAATACCAAAAGTAATACCCATACAGCAAAAATTCTTGTATTATCTAACTAACCTCTTCACCTTTCCTTCACTTGAAATATTTTGCTTGTAACTCATTAAAAGATCTTCACATCAGCGACTGTAGGCTTTGTGGGCTTCTGGTAGCCCCAGAGGGTAGAACAACCAGAACTGTTCACAGTCAAAGCCCAGAACTTGCAGCAACCAGAGGCTTCACAGGCACGTTCTCCTTTGGTCTGGCAGCCACTTTGCAAGCCTGCTCTTTGCAGAGCAAATGTTGAGCAAGTTGAGGATGAACACACTTCCCAGTTTTGTTTCCTGAAATATCTCTGAACTCGACGCTGTAGTGCCTGTCCACTGGATGGTCAGCATATCCCAAAGACAAGCTCTAAAGGTGCTAGACCACAGGACATGGTAACAGAGCTCCATGCTGCATAAACTTCCTTGTTTCAGCTCTTGGCCATTCCTACATGAGAAGTAGAAATAAGCATAAAGGCATAACTTTATTTATTTATTTATTTATTTATCCTCATGCTGTTAAGAATATGAGAATGTCTATACCAAGTCAAACCATGGCTCCATCTAGTGCAGGATCCTGTCTTAAGCATTGTCTATAAGCAGATGTCCAGGGAAAACAGGGTGAGGATATGATGATGTTTCTCTTGGATAACCACCCAGGGAGTCTTCAACTCAGAGGTTTCTGTGCGCATAGTGCCCCCACAAAAAATATCCTCCATGGCTTTGTCCAGTCTTTCTTTGAACCTGTTTCATGATTCCAGTTCATTATGCTACCGTGGTATTAAAAGTCCCCAGAGAGTGCTCAGCAAAAATAGCACAGCTTTGATCACACAGCCATAGACTGAACAACGTGATGAGATGTAAAGTTCAATGCTCACTGGCCAAAATATTCCCTTTTTCTCCCAGCAGACCCCACATCTGCAAGCATTTGGTGAAATTGCTGATGTAATATAATGCATAGTTGCCAAAGCAATTTGATGGTGGGCATTACAGAATAAACATGAGAGCCGAAACGCAGGTGGTCGCCGTACTGCTGTGCCAAGACGTGGCTGTGTGCCATCCCGAGCGTTCCCTCTCACAAGCAGTTTTAAACCTTGACAACACTGAACTGTAACTGAAAAGAACCCGATATGGCCAGGAAATGGCTAGCATAGCAAAGCAGGCCTTGGCAAAGAACAGCAGACTCATGCAGAAGGCTAGAGCTGGGCAAGTTGGCTAACTCGTGTGCTCCCCCCTCCTCGATATTTCGGGTACCTGGCAAAGCTCTCATGCTGTGCCCAGGTAGAAAGTTAGCAGTAAGAATGGCAGGATCTGGGTGCTTGCAATTCTTGCAATGTACAAGTTACGTTGCTGGTAGACCCTGCGTCTGAGTTCAGTCTAGCACATTTCAGCATATGTAACCCCTCAGAAGGGGAGTGGGGAGGTGTGACACGAGAACAGCGAGCTTCAGAGTGCGAGAAGCGCACATGGGAGCCGGCGCTGCCTGGTGGCACCCAGCTGTCTCACACTTGGCAGTTCGGTGTCGGCAGGTTCGATGAGCAAGTGTTCAATTATGTCAGTGCTGCGTTGGTCTGGAGAGCATTCAGCTCAATTGGGAAGTATTGGACAAGACTGGTGGATTTAAAGCAATGTCAGATGTTTTGAGAGTCTGGCCACCCTTCTGTACCGAGTGAATGTGAACAAGGGGCCAAACTAGAAATGCTTGCACCAAGCAAAGAAAAGTCACCTTAGAAAGAAGGAAGGGTGGGGGGAAGAAAGGGATCATATATCTAAATTGTGGTGAGTGCTGTACTCTGGATTCTCTGGAGGAGACCTCTCTGACCTGATTGTTCTTCTGTTTTTTTCCAGGTGAAGACGAGAAACTTGCTGCTTCTTTGCTAGATGGGAAGTTTCCCCGGAGCACATCGATGCAAGACACTGTTAGGGAAGGGCATGGGATTCCACCACCACCTCAAACAGCCCCACCCCCGCCTCCTTCTCCATATTACTTCGACACAGGCCCCCCGCCATCCTTCTCACCACCTCCACCCCCAGGAAGAGCTTATGATACCATAAGATCAAGCTTTAAGCCAAGCCTGGAGGCTAAGCTCCACGGACTCCCACAGGTCATTAGCGCAGCTGAGATGTACGATCAGGCGAGGACTTCCATTCCTTATCCTGAAAGGCAGAAGAGGGCCCGATCCATGATAATCCTACAGGATTCCTCTCATCTTCCTGTGGAGCCAACAGAGATCCCCCGGCCTGGCCCATCCGCAACCCCTCCAGAGAAGCTGAAGAGGAAGGGGAGAGTGATTGACAACCCGTATGCCAACATGGGTCAGTTCAACGTCAGCCTGTTTGCTCCCACCAAGCCACAGAGGAAGAAGAGTCCTCTCGTTAAGCAGTTACAAGTAGAGGATGCACAGGAGAGAGCAGCACTGTCCATCACTGGAGGCTTTACCAGGGAGCCCTCTCCCACGCGCAGGAGCCATCGCCTGAGTGGCGTGGAGTATCAGCACCACACGGGCATTGCTCAGGTCGAAGCCACAAGCATCCCCTTCGCCACTGCCATTGCTGGAGTCATGAAGGACAGAGACCGGCGTCTGGATGAGAAGCGGAAATCCACTGTCTTCCTCTCAGTTGGGGCCATCGAAGGAAGCCCCCCCAGCAGTGACATGCCATCCTTACAGCAGTCCAGGTCTATCGATGAGCGGTTGTTAGGAAGCCGAGATGTACTACTGCCTTCCCCTGTCTCAGCTTTAAAGCCATTAATTAGCAGCTCATCCTCAACGTTCATCCACCCCCTCACAGGAAAGCCCTTGGATCCAAACTCACCACTGGCGCTTGCGCTGGCCGCAAGGGAACGGGCCCTCTCAACTCAAGTCCCATCCCGGTCGCCCACCCCGATCCACAGCCCAGACTCAGACAGAGCAGCACCCCTGTTTGTGGACATCCAAACCAAAGAACCAGAGAGGGGGGAGTTGGAGAGCTTAGTGTCCCCTGCGTATTCACCTGGAGGTAAAGGGGCAATGGGAACGGACTCTGGGACTTTGGCCCCTACTAAGACCCCGTGGGGGACTCCGTCCACACTGAGAAAAGAAACTGAGGCAAGAGCAGAGACACCTGTGAAGGAGGAGAAAAAACAAGAAGACAAGAAGTCCATGATTATTAGTATAGTGGATACATCACAGCAGAAGACTGCTGGCCTTATCATGGTTCACGCCACAAGTAATGGCCAAGACGAGGTAGGACTTGAGGTAAAAGAGGAGAAGCCGGCTGTCCCTGAAGCATGCACAGAGCCAGCAGAGTCTCCCAAAGCAGAGACCCAGCCCAGCCCCGTGGGGAAGCCTCCGGTCAGTCCAGCCTCTGACAAGACACTGGGACAAGGGAGTTCGGAGGAAGAAGTGGAGCCCTACACGGTTACCCTCCCACCAGCTCAGTTGTCTTCAAGCGATGAAGAGACCAGGGAGGAGCTGGCCAAGATAGGGCTGGTGCCTCCACCAGATGAGTTTGCAAACGGGGTACTCGTCACCACCCCTGGCACACCAGTCAGCCACCTGGCTACGCCTAGCACGCCATCCATACCAGCGGCAGCAGTAGCACCTTCTACCACTGGCGGAACACCCTCAGGGAAGCCCTCTGATGCCCCCGTAGCCCCAGAGTCTGCTGCAGACTCAGGAGTGGAAGAGGTGGACACCAGAAGTTCAAGTGACCATCACCTGGAGACCACAAGCACCATCTCTACGGTCTCCAGCATGTCTACGTTGTCCTCAGAAAGCGGGGAGCCTACTGACACATACACTTCCTTTGCGGATGGACAAACTTTTATACTCGAGAAGCCACCAGTGCCTCCAAAGCCAAAACTCAAGTCCCAGCTCAGCAAGGGGCCAGTTACTTTCAGGGACCCACTTTTGAAGCAGTCTTCGGACAGCGAGCTCATCTCCCAGCAACATGCGGCCACTCTGGCATCAGCCAGCATTGGCCGGCCACGCTACCTCTTTCAGAGAAGGTCCAAGCTATGGGGGGACCCCATGGAGAGCAGGCCGATCCATGGGGCTGACGATGACAAGCCAACTGTGATCAGTGAGCTAAGTTCCCGACTACAGCAACTGAATAAGGATACACGATCACTGGGGGAGGAACCTGCCGGGTCCACCTTAGATCCCGGGAAGAAGTCACCGGTGGTCGCGGCACGGTAAGATGCTGGGCGCTGCTTGGGGGGGGGCTGGTGCGGGGCTTAGGCACCCAGAGGGACAGGGAGCTGCACAGGCAGGGTAGAGCTGCGCTGAGTAATTCGGGATGTGTTCGAGGGGCATTTCAGAGATGTCAGGACTTCTCAGCTGCGCAGGGGAGAAAAAATGCCGAGACAAAGTTCCTCGAGGTTGGCGTGAGTTGTTCGTGGCTCCTCTCTAGTACGCACCACACACGCAGAGAGCTCTCGCTGTTGTTTTTTCCCTTTAAATTGCCTTCCTGTTGTTTCATGTTCCTCCTCTGTCTTTACTCTATCGTTAAGCTGCTGTATTTAGTTGTGGGTTTCACTTCTAAATGTTTTCTCCTGAACAATGAATAACAATGTATGTTTCTCCAGTGCTTTTCATTTCAAAGGATCTCCAAACGCTGTCACACTGCGTAGTAGAGCTCTGGTCAGTCACTGCCATCACAAGGGTGGGCTGTGGTAGCCTTTAGAGAGGCCACAGCGACCCCACACACATTTCTTGGCCGAGGTTGCAGGTGTGAGCGAGGGAGGGCTGTGGCAGGATACGGGGCCAAGTCCTGCCGAGCCCAGTACCACGAGCCCAGCACCACGCGGTGCCTCCTGCCAGCAGGCCATGGAGCTCGCGAAGAGGTCTCCGTGTAGCACCAAAATACAGATCCTCTCAGCTCCTCCTCCAGACCCAGAGCTGCTCAGGGCCTGGACAACACATCAGGTCTAAAAAGTCACAGGTTACGGTGTGAACCCCCAGGATGTCAGAAGCCTTTCTCATTCAAATTCGTGCTCAGATTTCTTCATCCCTCAAGGTGCTCAGGAGCTGCTGGCTCCCCTCGCCCACGCTGCAGCCATGCCCATCACGTTCCCCAGGCAGCCTCACCCCCCGTGCCAGCCTCCCCCCTGGCTGGCACCCCTCGGCTGCCCCATCCCGCTCACCAGCTGCATTCAGACCTGCTGCCTCCATGGAGGTGGTGGTCCCCTTGGCCATAGCTTTCACCCCAGCTCACCCACCAATCTAGGTGTAAAACTAAACCAAAAACTCTAATCGAGAGTCTGAGATTTGAGAACAAACCCTTAGGAGGCTTAAAATTTTAAAGATACAGCAGGAAGGGACCCAAAGACACCAGTCACACCCTGCCCTTCACCCAGATGCCTTGGTGGTCACAGAGGCACCCTGAGCAGGTCCCACTGGCATCACAGTGTCCAGGCCACCCAGATGCAGACACTTGGCAGGGTCACCAAGGTGACAGACCAGCAGGGAGCTCTGAGCTAAGGGGAACCTTCCTTTTGAGGTGTTTTATCTAACCAGAGCATCGCAGTGATGGATTACAAATCCGTGTAGTGCTAACGCAGCCGATGACATTTCAAAGGCATGGGGATAAAATGTCCTAACCTGATGGAGCCCCAGAGGAGCGCTCGTGTATCTGCATCCTCCACCTGGCTCATATCTCCCTGCTGGTGCCTGCGGGCAGTGCCAGCCTGGCTGCACTGATATCCACCTCTGGGTAGGTGCCAGCTTGTAGTTACGATCACAGGGTGGAATAAGATCTCTGGATCTTTCCCTGCTATGCTATTTTATCTCCTTGATGGATTCAGACCCAAATGCACATTACGGCCATTCCCTACAGACCGATGTCTGACGCATGGTCCCTCCTCCAAGCACTGCTCAGTTGGGAAACATCAGGTCCAGAGCTGGATGACCTTAGTTCAGTTGCATTTGGGGACCCTTCTGAAATAAGTCATGCCATGCCTCATATTCCTACGAACGCCTCTTCACGGCTGCAGGTCCCCCCCGTGTTCCAGCAGGCAGTGTGCCTCCCTGTCCCCACCTCTCCCGGGGGCAGCAGACCCCCGCCACAGTTCCTGCCCCGTGACGTGGTCTTGCTGCAATGTCCCCTCTGTGTGGAGACCCCGTCCTCCTCCTCGCCAGCACCTGCTGCCCTGCCCTGCAGGGATGTGCGCCCCTGCCTCCTGTCCTGTACCCACCCTGCCACCAAGCGTTTGGCATTTTTTGGCAGCCCTGCAGAGTTAAATATTTCTCATCTCTTCCTCTGAAAGTCATGGCCTTTCATCTCTGAAATTTTTATGCTCTTGGTTGGTGTCAAATGCTTAAAATATTTCCCAGGTAGTCAGCTGTAAATAGAGTATTTAATGATGTCAGTCACTCTCTTCATTGTGAAAATTCCTCTCTTTTATGAAATTACTGTAAATTCAGAAAATAATGGAAAGAACAGTTAGATAAGCTTAAATGACCCATTTCAGGACACATTTTCCAGTCCCTGGGCTTGTCCTGAGAACAATACTGAGGACAGTATTACCTAAATCTCCCACTACAGACACCCCAAAATACAGCAGTACTGCAATGGAGGGAGCGAGGTGGCACCACGCTGGCCCGATGCTGCTGCCAGCAGTGGTGGCCCTCGAGCATCCCTCCAGGGGCTGCGGGATGGGGCACCCTTTGTCCAGGCATCCTGAAAGCCCAGGTGCTGCCGCAGCCAGAGCCGTGTTCCAGCCCCTCCGCAGGGCATTTGGAGGACTGCCCGGCTGTGGCCTGATTTGTGCTGCAGCTTTTTCTGTCATTCTCACATTTCACACTGCTCCAGAAACTGTCGTGAGCTGAACTGCGGCTCTCACCTAGAGCCAGAACGTGTCCTGGAGTCCCACAGGGCGCAGTGGGACGATGAGGGGCCCCTTGCACGAACCATCCGTGAGCTGCTGTCACTGTCGGTGTCACTGCAGGGGCTTGAAATGCCCCTGCGAGCAGGTGCAGCGGCTGGCATGCAGTTGCATGTTCATGCCTGGGATTCATTTCTAGCACATTAAATTCTGAATTTACAGTATTTACATCTGAGAGCAGGTAACCTCTCGTTGCACGTGCTGCCCGTAGCACAGGCGCTGGTGCAGCTCTTGCAGAGGTCTGTGAGGTCCTGGCTGGGGGCTCCAGGAACAGAAGACAGAAACTGCTTTCTCCATGACTAACTCTGACTATGTCTCCTTCCAAGACAGTCTTCCCCAGGAGGACATTTGACAAGAGGGACTGAAAAAGAGGTCAAGAAATACTGAGAATGAGAACCTAAGGTCAGAGTTGAGGCAACCAATAGAGAGAATACATATTCCATCGTCCCCAGTCGTCAGGCCCTGTGTGAATGGCCAGGGCTGAGCACGTTGAGGGAAGCTTTGTTGCACCCATGCACTGTGCTTTTAGTTAGCTCCTGAAGCAGTAGCATGCCTACTTGCTCAGATCCAGCCTTCTGCACAGTGCTCACCAGGACACCGTGGTTTGGCGGTGGCAGTGACAGCAGAGCGCAGGGACAGCTTCCATTCACACTGTCTCATGGGACTCTGAGCTGACCCATGAGCTGGGAACACGCAAACGTTGCTCACCTGGGAGTTCCTCTGCCACTTTCTTTAACAAAGCATGTCTACGAAGGCTGACACGAAGCCAGCAGCAGCCATCTCCATGCTTAGCATGAATGTGACCCTTGAAGAGCCGGTGTCCCAAGACGCGATAGCCTTTTCTAAGCTGAGCTGCAGGACAGTGACCGGATGCCATGGCATGTACATGGCTTGAACTGCCGAGCACCCTGGGACAGAGCTGACACAGCAGCAGATGTCGTGCAGTTGTTCCACTGAGCAGGAGCAGTTGAAGGAACCTGCAGCTCAGAGCTGAAATGGATTCATTGTGTGACATCCATTATCCCAATAAAGCTGACGTTAACTAATGAGAGGTGTACGTTTCTGATTAGTGATCCAGTGAGTCAGAGCTAGCGATGAAAATGCCAGCTGAAGAGCTGCATCCTAGTACCAGATGCTGAAATCATGCTCCTCAGGGTGACTCACGCGTTCAGTGTGCAGCATTCGAACATGTGTTTGAGATGGCATTCCTGTTTAATGTCCCTTTGTTGTGTGACTGGCCGTGGCCATCCAGCCTCATCAGGGTTGTGTCATTTCTCATCGTGCGTAGTCACACTCAGATCTAAACCTCCCACCTCTGCTAACAGGTTTGCTGGGATGCTGATCAGCCAGAACATAAAGCTAAATGTGAGCTCACGTTGACTCGAGCCAGAAGCATGTGAAGTGTCAACACAGTTCCAGTTTTGGGCTCCAGCTAATTCAGCCAAGAATCTGGGTTAGAGGGTGCTTTGCAAAGGGTTTTTGTTTGTTTGTTTGTTTATATTTAAGCAACAGCCGAACATGCCAAATGTATCATGTGAAGCACAATTTTAGATGCAAAACTGAGTTTTTCAGGTGCTGTTCTGGAAACCCACAACTGCTTTGTATTTCTACAGATCTGAAAGAGAGAGAGAAGAAAAATAAGCCCTTTAGGCATTTAGCTCCTAGGGTAAAGCTACCTCTTTCTATATAAACTCATCAATTAATTCTGTTTCAGTTAAATGGTGTAACATTTCTGGTGCAAGCTTTCAGCCGCTGCAGATACAACCCCCTGTTTCCTTGTAGGCTTTTTGTCTCTTCATGGTGTCTAAAGTGATGCACAAATCAGAGCTGAGCTTTCTTTCCAACGGTTAAGGGAACTGTCCATGGAGAGCTGCTGAAAAGCTAGAGATTGTCACTCACGAGCCCAGCTGAGATCTGTGCTACTCAGCCCCTTCCCCAGAGGGAGTTTGTGGCATATGGGAAGTTATTTGTGCTGCATGTAGGTTTTGCAGGAGGTGGCCTTTCTGATGAGAAATAGAGTCTCATGCAGAGTGCAAGCATCAGCCCCCGGCCTCAGGTGCTGGAAGGCTGCATCGCTCCAGCAGGCTGGCAGCTGTGTCCCCTGACGAAGTAAAACAGGGTGCGCCTCGGGCTGTCCTGGCTAGAGCAGCCTGACTGCTGATGGTCCCAAAGCCTGCTGTCCCCTGGACACCCTGAGGCCCCAGCAGCACGCCCCCGAGCACCCCACCTTTCCCAATGTGCTGGGTGAAACCTGCAGCCACTGATTAGAAGGGCAAAACTGCAGTGCCGTGGTGGAGCCATGGTGGGAC